GGGGGGGTGGGGTGTGGGGTGGGAGAGTGTGTGGGGGTGGGTGGGGAAAGTGCCTGCCTGCGACTTACCTGGACCCTGGTTTCTTTCAGGATGTTGTCCCTGACTGGCAGGGAGCAGCCAGCAAGCTGCTGGTGGCCCTGGGCTGCAGGTTCATCAACGAGGTGATGGAGGAGATTTTGCAGAACTTCCAGCCGGGGGTCCTGCCCCATTTCTTTGTGGTTCAGACACTGGGCAACCTCGCCACGGCAAACGGTGAGGCAGCTGTGTGTGTGTGACGTGAATCGTTGTGGTCCCAACACTGATCCCTGCGGAACTCCATTAGTGACCGGCTGCCATCCTGAGTGAGACCCCTTTATCCCCACTCTCTGCCTTCTGCCATTCCTCTGTCTGTGCCAGTACCTTGCCCTTAACACCATGGGCTTTTATTTAACTGCCTTCGATGTGACACTTTTTGTCAAAGGCCTTTCAGAAATCCAAATAGATCACGTTCTGTGGCTCCCTTTTGCCTCACTTACTCAATACTTCCTTGAGGGATTCCTAACAACTTGACCTCCCCTCGATGAAATCATGCAGACTGCCTGCTTCTCCCCCCCCCCCCCCCAAACTTTACCATGCAATTCCATATGGTTGATACATTGGAATCTCGGAAGACGATTACCATCGGTTCTGGAATTGATCCCTGGGGATTGGATACTCCCAAACGTCAGCCCACTATTTCAGGAGGGAGAGGGAATGCGGGGTCGCTGCTGGTTTTACATTACGTCCGGGGGAAGATACTGGAATCTGTTACAAAGAAATAGTTAAATGCACACTTGGATAGTGATGATCTGATCGGGCATAGTAAGCATGGAATTATAAATGGGAAATTGTGTAGAGGTTTTTTTTTTTTTGAAGATGTTACGAACAGTATCAATAAAGGGGAGTTGTTGGATGTCGTATGGTCAGGTTTTCAGAAGGCTCTTGTTAAAAAGTACCCCACAGGAGGCTGGTTAGAAAAGGTAAAGTGCACAGGATCGGGGGCAATGTACTGGCCTGGAGTAGGTATTGGCTAACAGATAGCAACAGAGAACAGCAATAAATACTCACGTTACAGGCTGTGACTGGGGTACCACAGGCATCAGTACTCAGGATCCCAGTTGTTCACAATGTGTATCAATGATCCAGAGGTAGGGACTAAATGGATTCTTTCCCAGTTTGCAGACAATACAGAGCCAAGTGGGAATGTGTGTTGTGAGGAAGATGCGTAAAGCAGCTTCAGGAGAATTTGAGCGGGTTTAGTGGGTGGACAGGTGACAGATGGAATCTAAGGTGGAGAAAGGAGAGGCTGCTCGCTTTGGGAGGAACAGACGTGCAGGATATTTCTGAGATGGTAAGAGGTTGGATAGTATCCATGTTCAAAGGGACGTGTGTGCCTTTGTCAATAAATCCCCAAAGGCTAATGTACAGCTGCAGCAAGTTGTGATTTAGTTAAAGTTGCTGGAAATCTGAAATAAAAACAGATCTTTGCTACTAAAACATTTAATAAAAACAGTGCTGGAGAAACTGAGCAGGCCTGGCAGTATCTGTGGAGAGAAAAAGAGTTAATGTTTCGAGCCTGACATGACTTCTTCAGAACCACTTCTGTTCTCTTTAATCCTGAATCTGCTGAGTTTCTCCAGCATTCTCTGTGTTGTTTCCGATTTCCAAGATTCAATCCCACATGCCTGCTGTGGTGGGATTTGAACTCACATCCCAACACATTATCCTGGCCCTCTGGACAAATTGTTCAGTGATATAACCAACAAGACTTCCTCATTTTGTTTCGTACTCTCCACCAATGTTTATAAAACCGATAAAGTTGCAGCCTTTGATGAAGTTGTCTTGTCAGATTTGACAAAGATTTGTCCCCGCAGCCTTCCCATCTCTGTCAGTCCCTGTACTACCTGTACAAATGGACCATGTAGCTTGTAGTTCTTGTTTGCCCAGTTTCTGCCCATTGCCTCTGTCCTGACTGTTGAGTTTATTCTCCAGTGTATGGCATGGTGCCCTTCCTGACAGCCATCTTAGGGACGATGCTGCCAATGCTGGGGATGGCGAAGCATGACTCGATGAAATCTGTGTTCACCATCGGTAAGATAATTGTTTAACGTGTGTCGAGGGAGCTTTACTCTGTATGTAACCCTGCACTGTGCTGGGTGTGTTTCGTGGGGATAGTGTAGAAGGAGCTTTACTCTGTATCCAACCCTGCGTTGGCCCTGACCTGGGAGTGTTCAATGGGGTACGTTGTAGATGGACCTTTAGTCTATACCTAGCCCAGTGCTGGGAGTGTTTGGGGGTGGTGTAGAGGGAGCTTTACTCCGTACCTAACCCCATGTTGGGAGTGTTTGAGGACAGTGTAGTGGGGCTGCTTGTGGAATGGAATTAAGAATCCTTTGCAGGGTATGTGGGTGATAGAAGTGGAGATGATTGATTTTTTTTATGAAAGGAAATTTGACAGGTACCTAAGGGAAACGGGGCTATGGGAACTGAGCGGGGCTTCGGCTGAGTGTGTAGATCCACAGTGGTGGGGGGCGCTGGTGCCACTGGCAGGGGTGGGGTGGGGTGGGGCGGGGCATGCTGGTGCTGGATGGCTTTGTGCTGTGCTGTGCTGTGCTGTGCTGTGAAGAGGTCACTGTAGTTTCCTGGTTTGGTACCGCAGTGGGGGGTGGTTGCTAACGTGTTTCCCCTTGCTGTGTCATTGCCTCGGTTCTAGCTCTGGGTCGTTTCAGTGAGAGTATCCTGGAGTACCTGGCGAACCTGGACAAGGCCCCAGACCCCACTGTCAGGAAAGACGCCTTCTCCAGCGAGATCTACACTTCCTACGAGATCCTCTTCAATGTCTGGCTGCAGCACAAGGAGGCCAAGGTGAGGGGCCGTTCCTCCTCCTCCTCCTCCTCCTCCTCCTCCTCCTCCTCCTCCCCCCCCCCCCCCCCAAAAAAAACCAAAAGGCCCTTGGGATTAGCTGCCTGTGACCTCTCAGCTACCCCGACCACATTTATCCAGCTCTGATCCCGGCCCGACCACCCCCCCATGCTTCCCCATTATCACAGTTCCTCTTTTTTTCTCCCCGGTTGGGTGTAATCGAAAAGCTTGGGTCGAAGGTAAACAGTAGCGCTGAGAGTTATGAGATGGGCAGTGTCCAAAGGGGACAGGCTGGTTGGTGGAGTGGCTGGGTGACATTTAAGTCATTTCGACAGGAAGACCAAGGAGGGGCAACAAAGAAAGGGATCCCATTCTGAAGGGGGCTCCAGGAGCTGAGGGACCTGGGTATAAAGTGCATGAGCCATTACAAAAAATGGCAGGATAGATGGAGAATGTGGATGATAAAGCCTGTGGGATCCTTATTGACAAAGGTGTACAGGACAAACAAGGAGATGGTACTGAACCTATACATGATACAACTTCCGCCTCAGCCGAAGGGTTGGGTCCAGCGTTGGGCACCCTACCTCAGCAAAGGTGTGAAGGCTGCAGTGAGTGTTGAGCTGATTTGCAAGAATAGTTCCCATCCTGACAGACTTCAGTTACACAGACCGCGGCTTGACAGAGGAGATTGGTTCTAGGTGTTTGATATTGAAACTGGACAAAGTGAGGAGAAACTGCTCCTATAGGCATGGGGGCCAGGAACTAGAGGAGAAGGTTACTTCAGACTACAACGGGATCTTGATCAGGTGGGCCAACGGGGCGAGGAGTGGCAGATGGAGTTTAATTTGGATAAGTTTGAGCTGCTGCATTTTGGAAAGGCAAACCAGGGCAGGACTTACACACTTAATGGTAAGGTCCTGGGGAGTGTTGCTGAACAAAGAGACATGGGAGTGCAGGTTCATAGTTAGTTGAAAGTGGAGTCCCAACCCGACAGGATAGTGAAGAAGGCATTTGGTACACTTGCCTTTATTGGTCAGTGCATTGAGTATAGGAGTTGGGAGGGTCACGTTGCAACTGTACAGGACATTGATTAGGCAACTTGGAATGCTGCGTGCAATTCTGGTCTCCTTGCTACAGGAAGGAAGTTGTCAAACTTGAAATGATTCAGAAAAGATTTACTAAGATGTTGCCAGAGTTGGGGTGTTTGAGCTATAGAGACAGGCTGAATACACTGGGGCTATTGAGGTGGAGGCAGATTCACTCGATATTGGTGAGATTTTTAATTACTTCTCCAATGTGGATGTTGCTGGCTGAGCCAGCATTTATCACCCATCCTTAATTGCCCAGAGGGTAGTTAAAAGTCACCCACATTGGGCAGGCAATGGCTTAGCGTTTGTTATCGCTGGACTGTTAATCCAAAGAGCCAGATAATGTTCTGGGTTCGAATCCTGCCACGGCAGATGGTGGAATTTGAATTCAATTAAAAAAATC